ACTCCCACCCCTCTATCAGTCCACCTGACTGCAGGATAGAGGGAAACAAAGGGTAGGAATGTGAGAGGACTAAAGGAAGACCTTAGATATAAAAAAGGGAAGACCTCCTCTTTCCATGGATTCTACTTTCTGGTCCCCTTCTTCCTCCGGGGAGAAGTCTTTTCTGCTGTCCTTTAATAAAGCCTTCCACTTTCCACTCTACACTTGCCTTGGTGTGCTTCTCTAGTGTTAGATTTCAGCGTTTGGGGAAGCAAGGACTAGTCACTGGTAAACAATGGTAACACTGGGATGCAAAATGTTAGTCAACCTGCACTTCATTTCAAAGACAGTGGTAACATTTTGGGAAGGCATCAAGGGAATTCTAAGATATTAGAAGATGATAGAATATGGTAGCCTTAAACGTCGATGATAGGATGCTTAAACATGAAATGATGGAGAGAAATAGTTGTGGCCATAAGGCATAGATGTTTTAGTTCTCTAAAAATATTTGTCTCCAGTCTCCTTTAAAAAAGTACTTTCTCACAATTGCCAAGATTCTTAAATATACTGTTAATATATTTAAGTCCCTTAAGCTGGGTGCAATGTGCATACCTGTAGCCCCAATGACACAGGAGACTAAAGCAGGTGAAATGCAAATTTGAGACCAGTCTCAGAAGTGCAGGGGTACCCTGGGGCTGGGATTGTGGCTCATTGGTAGAGCTAGAGCTCTTGTCTAGCATGTGGGAGCCAGGCACTGTGTTCAATCTTCAGCACCACATAACAATAAATAAACAAAATAAAGGTATTGTGCCGCAGTCTGGCTGGGCACAAAAATCACGAGCCACTCAAACAGGAACAAATTTTATTTTTGAAACTCCCGCCAATGCCCTGTATGCTCCTAGGAAATATATCGACCCACACACGCGGCGTTCTCCTGGACACACAGGGATAGTAAATGCAAAATGTGGACTATCCTCAGGATGAATTGGAATTAAAAAAAAAAAAAACAATCTTTAATATCTATAGCTAAAACATGCCAGGTTTTTGGCAAAGCAGACAATTGGGGAATCCCTGATTGAGCAGGTCCCATAATAACCATCTCATTATTAATGGCTCTTAAATCTTGCAATAATCTCCATTTACCAGATTTCTTTTTAATGACAAAAATGGGAGTATTATGGGGAGATGCGGAAGGTTGTATATGTCCCTCCACTAATTGTTGTTTGACCAGGTCATGGGCTACTTGTATCTTTTCTTTAGTCAGGGGACACTGAAGAACCCATACTGGTCTTTCTGATTTCCAAGTAATTTTGATTGTCTCAGTGGCCCTTTCTGAAAACCCAATCCATGTCTATTTATTCCTTGATCTATTTGAATTGGTGCTGTTATACCTTGTTCTTGTTCTCTTAATCTTTTTTCTTTCCTAATGCCTTGTCTAGCCCTAATAGTCCTAGGCACGTTAGGATTGATGTTATTTGTTAATGTCAAACCTAATTGATCTAGGACATCTTGTCCCCATAAATTTATAGGAAGATGATCCAATACATATGGCTGTATAGTTCCTTCACATCCTTCAGGATCCTTCCAATCTAATACCATTATACTTCTATGGGGATTAGTTGCCACTCCTAGGCCTCGAAGCGTTTGAGTGACTTGTTGTAATGGTCAATGTTTTGGCCATTCTTGATGAGATATGATGCTAAGGTAAGCTCCTGTGTCCAGTAGCCCATTCAATTCATGTCCTTGAATATTTAGTTTTAACATTGGGCAAGAATCTAAATTTAAAGACAGCATAGCCCAATCCACACCTGTGGAGCCTAATCCCCTGGAACCTCTTTCTACAGTGTGACTGGAAAATTTATCATGCAGGCTGGGTATTATTAATAACTGTGCTATTCTATCTCCTAGTGAAATTACTGATAAACCTCTTGGAGAACTAGCTATAATTTTTATTTCACCTTCATAATCGGGATCAATTACCCCAGGACTTATCATAAGTCCTTTTAGTGTAGAAGAACTGCGTCCCAATAATAAGCCTACTGTTCCTTGGGGGAAGAGGTCCTTTTACTCCTGTGGGAATGATTTGAACTCCCATCTCTGGAGTTAGTACTGCTCTGGCAGAGGCGCAGATGTCCAACCCTGCACTCCCTCTAGTTTGTCTGATGAGGGATTTAATGGATAATGTGTCCTGGGCACTACCCTGATGGTGTTGCTGGGTTCCTCCATTGCCCAGTATATTTGTAGTTTTGGGCCCTGGAGCATTGGGCCCCCCAGTCTATTTTTTGGCAATGGAGCCTGATGCCTTTCTCCACAATATCGTGGGTAAACACTTGGTCCTTGTCCGTTTTTTGATAACGGAACACCCTCTATGGTGGTTTGAGAATGGCATTCATTAGCCCAATGTCTCCCTCTATGGCATTGTGGGCAAATACCCGGTATTCTATTCCTTTGATACATAGCTTTGTTAAACCCTCCTCCTATGGGGCAACTCCTTTTAAAATGTCCTGTTTGTTCACAATTGTAGCATGTTTTTGGCCTGGCATCTAAAGCCTGTTGTACTGCAGCTTCCAAGACTTGCCCTTGTTCATTAATGTCTCTACATAATTTAATATATGTGTTTAAATCTTCATGTCTCCATGGTCTAATGACCTCTCTGCAGTAACGATTTGCTTGGTCATAAGCCAGTTGTTTTATTAATGGCATTGCTTGTTCTGCATCCCCCAAAATTCTGGCAGATGTTTGAATAAGCCTATCTACAAATTCAGTGTAAGGTTCATTAGTTCCTTGTATTACCTTAGATAATTGTCCTTGTAAATCTCCATGCCCCTGTAAAGTTTTCCATGTCCTAACTGCATCTACAGCAATTTGTGAGTATACGCCAGTACCATATTCAATTTGTTGCTGTTGAACCTCATAAGGTCCCTTTCCTAACAACATATCTAGATTTCTTTGAGGGTAACCGGCTGCTGCATTTCGCCTAGCTGTCTCCATGAAAAATTCCTCATTGGCAACCTTCCATAACAAATATTGTCCTCCATTTAGCACCGATCGACACATGTTAGCCCAATCTGCTGGCATCATGTCCAAGTTGGTAACAGATTCGACCATGCTTACAGTGAAGGGTGCTTGCGGACCATAGGTTGTTACAGACTCCTTTAATTGCTTCACTGTTTTGAAATCTAAAGCACGGTGAATTCGTTGCCCTCTTGCCTGCTCAAGTATAGGGCATGCTAATCTTTGAGGTCCTGCCTCAGGATTCCGTCTATCAACTACGGGAGTTGAGGGCCATTCAGCTGTCTCTATAGATGGAGCTGTTGGTTGAATTATGCCCTTTGGTGATAGAACGGAGTTAGTAGCAGCCTCCTGTTGTAGCTCCCCGCCATGGTTGTTTCCCTCTAAGCTTTCTTCCTTTAAATTTTCCTCTGACTAGTTCGAGAGACCTTCTCTTTTGCTTGACCTAACATGTTTTCTACCATAGTCTGGACCTCTAACAATTTGCTTAACAGTCTTTCGGTTTGTTTTTTTACTAATTTCTAATCTACTATAAAGGTAATGCAACCCAATAAGATAACATAAAACAAAACCGAAACAGAATGAAACAAAAACGGAACAAAAAATCGTTGTATCAATTTTCTCTTTCTCAGGGCCGAACAACTTCAAACCTTGAGCCAACCATTTTTCTCAGTTTGCCTGAGAAAGTTCTAGGGATAGGCAGCTTGAAACAAAAATAAAATAAATCAAAGCAAGAACACATTGTTTCTTGAAATGGTCACCCAATCTCTCACCTTCCCTCAGGGGCGAGCAATTTTACTTACCTCTGAGCTTCAGGTGTTTCCCCGTTTGGGCCACCAATTGCCGCAGTCTGGCTGGGCACAAAAATCACCAGCCACTCAAACAGGAACAAATTTTATTTTTGAAACTCCCACCAATGCCCTGTATGCTCCCGGCTGACCCACACACCGCAGCGTTCTCCCGGACACACACCAACAGAAAATCCCTCCTCTGGAATTCCCTCCTACCGCACTTCCCCAACCAATGGGAACTCTCCAGGAGTCCTATAGCAGGCCGAGGTGGACAGCAAGGGTCTAATATCCATATGAATGCAGATCTTAACATAATCATATCATCTCAATGGCTTGCTGGCATCACCTTTCAACCAAAAATGCCATGCATCATTACTACTTGGCTATGGCTCTTAGCAGTATTGTGTCCAACTACTTCTAAAAAATAAATATTAAAAAATTTTTTTTTAAATATTTATTTTTTTAGTTTTCCGCGGACACAACATCTCTGTTTGTATGTGGTGCTGAGGATCGAACCTGGGCCGCACGCATGCCAGGCAAGCGCGCTACCGCTTGAGCCACATCCCCAGCCCCATAAAAAATAAATATTTAAAATATTTAAAAAAGTGATTGGTTGGGCCATACATATCCATCTTTCCAAGATCACCCATAATCTTAGGCTGAGAGGGTGGGGCATTCTTTTGGTCTGGGAACTATAAGCTGCCAGTGCGAGTTCTATAAGTGGAACTATAAGAGGTCCAGCACTGCCCAGAAGGGGGAGGGGGGGTCCGGTTCCATTCCCTCATGGCTGCAGTCTTGACTTTCCCTGGGTGAAAAGAAGAGACAGCCCAGGCCTGGTCATTTCACACCAACTTGGTACCACAACACCCAGTTTTGCTTGGAAGAAGGGTTATCTCGCAGCGTCATTACATTCCCCCCCAATCAAAAGCAGTGCCCTTTGTCTCAGGAGTTGGTGGAGGCTTCAAAAAATCACTTAAGAGCCATCGTGCTCAGTCCCAGGATTCTCTATGGCAGAGGGCCGATAAGCCTCATCAACGGTCCTGCCCCACCGAGAGTTAATCCAATCAGAGCAAAACATTCAAGCTCCTTTCCCGATTTGGTGTCGTCATTTCCAGTTTATTCCCGGAAGTCCTGCCGTGGAGCCAAATTTGAAGCAAGCCGAGACCCTGGGGCGCCACCACGAAGTTGGGCCTGTTGCAGTTTCCTTGGCTACCTGGGCCGCTTGAGTCCAGCCATCATGCCTCTCCGTGCCCTGTGCACTATCTGCTCGGACTTCTTTAACCACTCCCGCGACGTGGAGCCCATCCACTGTGGACATACCTTCCACCTTCAGTGCCTAATTCAGTGGTTTGAGACAGCACCAAGTCGGACTTGCCCACAATGCCGAATCCAGGTTGGCAAAAGAACCATTATCAATAAGCTCTTCTTTGACCTTGCCCAGGAGGAGGAGAGTGTCTTGGATGCAGAATTCTTAAAGAATGAACTGGATAACATCAGAGCCCAGCTTTCCCAGAAAGAAAGAGAGAAACGGACAGCCAGATTATTATCGACACTCTGGAAGAGCGCAACACCACTGTGGAATCTCTGCAAAAGGCCTTAGGCAAGGCTGAGATACTATGCTCTACACTCAAAAAGCAGATGAAGTTCTTGGAGCAGCAACGAGATGAGACTAAACAAGCACAGGAGGAAGCCCGCCGACTCAGGAGCAAGATGAAGACCATGGAGCAGATTGAGATCCTACTCCAGAGTCAGCGGCCTGAGGTGGAGGAAGTGATTCGAGACATGGGTGTGGGACAATCAGCGGTGAAGCAACTGGCTGTGTATTGTGTGTCTCTCAAGAAAGAGTATGAGAATCTAAAAGAGGCCCGGAAGGCCACGGAGGAGTTGGCTAACAAGCTGAGGAAGGACTTGGTCTCCTCCAAAAGCAAGTTGCAGACAGTCTACTCTGAATTGGATCAGGCCAAGTTGGAGCTGAGAGTGGCCCAAAAGGACTTACAGAATACTGAAAAGGAAATCACGAGCCTGAAAAAGAAGCTAATGATGTTGCAGGAAACCTTGAACCTGCCACCAATGGCCAGTGAGACTGTCAACCGCCTGGTTTTAGAGAGCCCAGCTCCTGTGGAGATGCTGGACCTGAAGTTCCGCAGGCCATCATTCGGTGATGATGTTGACCTCCATGCTTCCTTCAATGTGGATACTCCCCAAACCCAGCCCTCCAACTCCCAGCATGGCCACTCCAAAAGGCTATGCCTTGAGAAGGCACACTCTCCTGTTCAGGACATTCTCAAGAAGATGCCCAGAGGTCCCAAGCAGAAGTTCCAGCTCTCTTTGGCTGGCCAGCACTGTTCAAGAGAACCAGATGAGGACCTGGCTGGTGCCTTCCCTGTCTTTATCCGGAATGCTGTTCTGGGACAGAAACAGCCAAAGAGGGCCATAGCAAAGTCCTGTCGCAGCACAGATGTGGTAAGAACAGGTTTTGATGGCCTTGGAGGCCGGACAAAATTCATACAGCCTACTAACACAGCCATGATTCACCCACTACCTGTTAAGCCCAAGACGAAGGCTAAGCAGAGAGTGAGGGTGAGGACTATAAACCCTTCCTCCCAGGCCATGTTGGATACCTTCCTGTGGCAATGAGAACAGTGAATCTAAGCAGTGGCCAGACATGCCTCCAACTAGAAGATTGGCCAGTAGTGTTTGGAGGGATGGCCTCTCTTCTAGGACAATCCCTGAGAGCAAAGGCAGAAAAGCAGATGAATAGTAGAGTGACAGAGATTGTGCACTTCCTTTGTCCACCTTGCCCTGTTCTGTCACATAGAGCTGACACTACCAGCTTACTGTTTCCATCAGCAAGTGCCTGCTCCTGGTTGCAGCCTCTTGTTTAGAGCTACAATCTAATGTGGCCAGGTTCTTTCTGATCCTGGAAACCAGGATCACTTGTTGACTGTATGCATAAAAGTGCTTGAGATTGTCTCAGCCTGAGTCTGAGCTTCTGCCTGCCTCCCTCACTGCTGGGCATGGCCTGATCCGGGCATGGCCTGATCTAAGCACGGTGTGGAGTAGGGAATGGGGAATGATGGAGTGGGGAGGATAGGGAAAGATTTACATGTAAATTATTATTATTATTTTTTTTTTAGAGAGAGAGAGAG